AGATCAATCGTGGTTAGATTTATTTCCTGTACTAAAATATCCACAACTGCAGAAAAAAATCTGTCTTGGCCTTCAAGGTCCTTTGCATACAGACCAGTCAAATCCTAATTGGTGTATATCTACGATCAAGACTCGCCGTGCTCAATTTGAGACAAAAGGATTCGAGTTTAGGTATTTTCTACTAATGTAAATTCATTGCTGGTCGTCTGCAGATTAACCACAAATCTATAGAGAAACTCAATTGGCAGTGATTGTCATTAATGAGGGCGCAACCGCAGAGAGTCAGCACACAAAAATTTCATAGATGTCTTGGACCTCTGAACTGCGACCTACCACTCATTTGTCTCACCTCTATAGCTAAATAGGATATATTACTAAAGTATTAGGCGCCGTCAAACATAGAATAATCTTCAACAAGTCATTAACGACTGTTTGTCTTGTATCTCGTCCATCCGACAGTATAGCAGCTATGTTGTGACAGGCGACGGGTTTTATGATCAGTTAGTGTATGTGGAGAGTTGGAATGATTGAGTAGGAGAACTTTCAGCCAGACCGACCTTCTATCCCGAGCTATAACTGAATAAATGAATATGATCTTTCTTTTGTATGGGATCCACTCGAATAACTTTTTGGACAAACAAAAAAATGCTTTATCATTTCTATTAATATGTAAAATAAATGTTTTTTTTTTCATTTTCAATCTAAATAAACCATTGAATTTTATCTTCAAGAAATAAATAAGAAAATCAAATTTGAAATCAGTTGAATTAATTATCCAAAACAGAGAATAAAATGAAGCATGTAGTACGATTGACGATATGTACCAACATGTAATACTATTCTCTAAAAAAGAATATATTTTCAAATAATGTATATATATATAGATTCTTTTAAAGAAATTCTTTTATTTTCTCTTAATTATATTTCTTCTATTATTTGATTAGTAAATTTAAGAATATATTCGTTATCAATTCCATGATCTTTTACATTCGAATGAATTTCATCTGATATTCATGTCGTATTTTTATATTTCAGGGATCTATTCATTTTAAAATTAAAATAAATTTAACAATCACACGAGTTGCTAATAGAGTAAGTAAATAAACAACGAATTTAACATTCGATATAATGTGCTTCTCTTCCATGATTTTATTTTTAAAATCCGATCATTTAATTATTCATTCGCTCAATTAAATTCTATAAAATCATTTCTTACACCATTTGGATCACCACTAAAACTTCTCCTTTATAAATAGAACTCAAATATTTGTGATTATTTTCCTGATTAATATCAAATAAAGACGTAAAATAGTTCTTAAATAAAGCAACTATGTAGGATTCTTGATTAAGATCAATTACAGCTGTACGTTTATAAATATCTTTCCATTTCAAATAGAAACTTCTTTCAGAAGAAAATGAATATACTTTCATTATTGAATTAACTAAGAATTAATTCTTCTTCTGTCTTCATAAATTTGTGAATCGCACAGCATTTAAATTGATCATGAAGGAGCTGGTGATGGAAAGAATTCATAAACTCTTCTTTATGTTTGATTCCTATAAACTATTTCACTTTTCTCAGCGATCTAGACAAAATAAATCTATCATTTTTTTCAAAAAATAAAAAAAATCTCTTCAAATAAGAGAACAAACTTCAACTCGAAATTCTTATTCTCTTTTAGCAACTTGTTCAGTATTAGCTCGAAGATGAATTGCTCATAATCTTTTTTTAGAAATTGTTAAATTAATTTGTTGTTTTTTTCTCGATTATTATGAGGAAGCTGAAAAACAAAAGAAATCTTTTCATGAAATTCAATGAATCTTTAACAAGATTTGAACACCAGTCATTTGATAGAGAATAATAATCTCTTGATTATGTATGGATAACATACCTTATGTTCTTTAATATTATCAGAAGATAAAACTTTTTGATAAGCTCAATTAAACATTGTTGATAAACATTGGTCATACTCAAGACTTGTTTCTCTTAACGTTATATTCAATAAATATTCAGTAGGAATAAAACATATAAATATTTAATTCATTTTCGTTTATTCTAGATTTCATTTCTGAACATTCATCTTCATGCAAATATCGACGTTAAAAACAATTCTTTACATAAAACAACGTCAATGATAATTGACAGAAAACAATTCGAAAATAAGTAAATACCTTTAAGAAATGAAAAAGTTCAATTTTTAAAATGATTTTGGATCAAAAAGAATTTTTTTCTTTTACTTTTCCAGAACTTGTCAAAAGAAATAAAAATATTTTCTTATCTTTAAGTAAATAGTTGTTTTTTATTCATTGAATTGTTAATATTAACAAATATCTTAATTAGTCGTGAATCAATATGAAGAATCATTATTTAAATATGAATTTAACAAATCGATAATACTTAACATATAAACTTAATTGAAATCAATAATTCTTACTCAATATTTCACTATTGATTGTTTTCAATTCTTCAAAATTTGAATGATAAGAAGAGAAATGTTCAATCGAAGATAAAATTTTGTCTTATTGTTCGTCAAAAATCGTTCACATTAATAAATGAGAAATCAAAAAAGAAGATTTTTCATTCGCAAAAAAAAAACATTTATTTCTCAAAAATAAACATCAATAAAATACAAGAGATTTCGAATGATTATTATTATTTTCATCTTCAAGTAAAATCATTCTCGAAATGTTCGACAATCAATTCAACATTCATTTGAACATTTGATGATAAATGAAGAAAACAAGATTTTCTTTTTGGAAATAAATAAAAGAGATTTACATTAATTATTTGAAGGATATTTAAAGAGATAGTATACGAATGAAATTCAACTGACTCTGCTATAACGACACATATATCCTTTTTTTCTTCTCAATGTCATTTTTTGTTTTCAAAAATCAACACAACATAGGGGTCATTCACACTTGACGAATTAAAATTGAATTAAGAAATATGATTGGTGTTGCTATGTGGAAATATCAATCATATTTCTTAATTCAACTTTAATTCGTCTAGTGTGAATGGGCTCATAGATTGACTATGATCGAGTTGAACGGTATATCAATGTTTTACCTTTCTGAATAAGTTGACCTATTCAATTTAACAATAGCGCAAAATCATTAAAAAAAATATGAACCGATCAAATGTTCATCTTTTCGATTTACCTGATGAAATATTACTTATTATTTTGAACAAATTGAACAATATTGATGTACTTTATTCTTTATTGGATATTAATAATGGACGACTTAACGTTCTTGCACAAGAAAACACTTTCACCAACATTCTGAAGTTTGTCTCCATTGATGATACTTCTCTAATCAATCGTTTTTGCATCGATATATTACCAAGAATTCATCGTAATGTCAAATGTTTTATCTTTGATCCAATTTTTATGGAACGCATTCTTCTTACCACCGACTATCCCAATCTAATTGAACTTGAAATTCATAATTTTCATGAAGAAATTGCTTTAAATTACTTTACAAGTGAGCTTTTAATATGAGACAAATAATAAATGAGTCTTACAACGAATAGATTAGATTACAGTTTGTTTCATTTCATTGTTTTTTCGTTTAGATAAATCATCAGTTCGATCTATTTTCCAAGAACAAATTACAAATCTTATTCTTATCAATAATGATGAATGCACAAGGACATGTTCATCAAATTATACTGCAGAGATATATGCGCATATATTGACCTTCTTCAAAAATTTAAAAATTCTACGTATTATAGAACCAAGTATTGTGTCATATCCGCCTCTATCACTTTGTTATTTGCCATCGACTACTTTTTCATCCTCGATTCTTACTCATTTATATATCAATGTGCAAACTTTTGATGATTGTCTTTGCTTACTTGATGGTCGACTTAAACAATTGACAACATTGTTTGTTACTGTCTGTTGCGTATTCAATTCTTCACGCATTATTCACAATATGGTAAGTTTCTACAAATAATTTAATGAGATAAGAATAGTTACTATTTTAACGCAGTTTGAATTTTTTGTCAAAAGATTTAATAAGAGATCAGATGATTAAATTTCATGTTGATAAGAGGGGAAACTGATAAGTATTGATGAATGTATCGGAATCATCGACAATAAGTTTTTATCTACTAGAAATCACTTTTTTGATAAAGTGATCAAAGAAAATTTCTAGAATTTATAATTAAATAAGATTGTTGAGGGTAAGTTTCATATTAAAAAACTGCACTCACTGTTTCATCCTTGATTAAATATTATCCATTGTGAATAATCATCAGCACTGAATGGAACAAAACTTTTCGAATAATTGAGATATGAATGCAATTTTATCTGTTTCATTTCTATTGTTGTTTCAACACCTCGCTTTTCATCCTCTAAAATTAGAATATCCAACTGAAAAATTTGTCATGTTGCGATCATTAACAGATAGAATATAACACAGACACTCAGTGTAAATAACGATGGATATGATTTAGTCATGTTGATTATCAATAAAAAAATTTTTTTTTCTTTTGTAGAATAAACTATCTAATCTTAAGTGTTTCTCGTTAAAAATGTTCTATGAATTTCAACCTTATGATAGAATTGCATCGCTTTTTCGTCGTATGTCAAATTTGGAAAAATTAACTTTAAACATTTCTATAAAAGATCGAAATAGTGTCATTGATGGTACTTATATTCAACATGATATATTTGATTGTATGCCAAAACTTCATTCATTCACATTCTATATTTGTACTTATGTTGAAACGGTTGATTTATCCTACAAGTTATCTAGTGAAGATATTCAACAAACATTAATCAATATTGGATTACAAGATGTTACTAGTATTATCAATTATGTTTGTGATTCAAGAGCTGCATGTTCGATTTTCTCACTTCCTTTTCAATTTGATTATCTCAAAGATTTTGGCAATAAATTTCCAAATATTGTATTCAGTTATGTTACGTATTTACATGTGAAAGATAATGATCCATTTAGACATGAATTCTTTGTTCGAATTACCAAATCGTTTCCATTATTGAAAGATTTATGTATTTATAATGTACGATCATCGTTATCAGTTGATCTTATGATATTTACATCTGACAATTGTCAATTATACTCAACTATTGAATATTCGCATCTAACTACACTTGATTTAAGTTGTGCACATAGAGAATATGTTGAACAATTTCTAAATGAAACAAAGATATATATGCCTTGTCTGATGGAATTATTGGTCAAGTTAGATGACTTGATAGTTGTAACAAAGAACTTTACAAGAAACGAAACACGACGCAATTGTACCAAAGTGAAAACATTATTTATCCTACCACCAAGATTACATGTAGAAGGTTTATGTGATTACTTTCCTTCGTTATATAAGTAGATGTATTCTTGTTATGATCAATTGAATAAACTGAAACATGATAAATATTGTATTTATAGGCTAATGATATTTTTCAAAATGTTAAGAAATATCAACTATTAATGATTGATTCTCATTTTAGAAAAAAACATCACATGATGCTGAAGAGTTATATGTAGAATGAAAAATATTCCTTTCGCAATTAGGGATGGTACTTTCATTTTCCTTTTTTGCATATGACATTACTAAAGAACGTATTAATAATGATAATTGATCTTTGATTAGTTGGAAAAAAAGAAGAAATTGAACAATAAGAAGATTGTTTACATAACTTTTGATTAAATGTTTGTTTGAGATCTAATATTCAATAAATGATAATTCCAAATCCCATTAAGAATATTTTCTCAATATTTTCCTGCTTGTTTAAGATAGTTAAAAATATTGAAAGAGAAGGTAGAAAGATTTGACACTAAACTAGCTGTTAAATACACCCGCGGGCAAAAGTCTTCCCCCCCCCCCTCCCCGCTTTTTTTTTCTTCGTTACATATTTAATATTGAGTTTTTAGTCAATTGAAAGAATGAAATCAGGAGTTTATTTTGCATGGGATGCAACTGATCGTCATTCAGTTTATTCAAGGTTGCTACATGAGTATTATAATGGTAGGAACAACTGTCAGAGTCATCTGCGAAGTTTTATTTGCACATCGCATTTTGAGAATATTTTTTAATATTCTTTGCGTTTTATTTCCATTATTGACTAATCACGGATATGTTCTCCTTAGTCCGATTGAAAATATTAAATCAATAATAAAGGATGAAACCGCGAAAATTAAAATGCGATGCACAAATAAAACTTCATAGATGACTGTGACAGTCGCTACCATTATAATACTCATCTAGCAACCTTGAATACACCGAATGACAATCAGTTCTACCCCATGCAAAATAAACTCCTGATTTCGTTCTTTCGATTGACTAGAAACTCAATACTAAATATGTAACGAAGAAAAAAAAACGTGTTAATCTTACCAATAGGTTGAAGTGTTCTTGATTATCTTGATGAGAGACACAACCTCTTGAAAAAGCTAATCGATCACTTTATTGATTAACTAATTGTTTAGGATTTATTCGAGGAAAAGTTAAACTTAATGTATTTTATAAAGATTGATCATTTCCATTAGGAATAATTAAATGTTGATTATTATTATTCTGATTATATTTATTTAATAATCGTTGATAAACTCTATCAGCTGTTCGTTTCACGGCTTGTCGACCTAAAGCGACACTCCTATATTTTCTATGTCTCTTTTACCTATCATATCTTTATAACCCGAAAACTAAACGAGTTTCCGGAAGTTGAAATGAATTTTCTGTAAATTCAAATAAGGCATCTAATCTTCAATATGTAGTTGCTTGTTAAAAAATGTGAAAATGTTATGATTTTTGAGTTACTTTTATTCTTATTTAAACTGGGTAAATGTTGTTCATTTAGTTTAACAAAATATTTTGCACCTTCACGTTGTGCTACTTTCTTATTTTTTTTTTGTTAAAAGGAATACATAATATAAAATCTATTAAAAGTACAAATCGTAGCTTTTCATACATCTGTCCATTGATACCAATAATAATCCATCCACAGTTGTAAGTCACTTTTAAGATTAGGAAGCAGCATATCTAGGCTATCATCATACCTAAAAAGAATATAACTAAATAGTAAAGAATATATTCATATCTTGCGCGAATATGATAGAAAGAAAAGACGACTATAATCTTTCGACTAGAGAAGGGGATACATGTAGGCTAGTAGAGATAGATCTCCTCTATCTAATAATGCATGCATTAGCAGGTTCTACACTGCATACCGTTGACATGCCAATAGGCGGAGCCGTGACTACTTGTGCTGTAGTATCCAAGAAACAAATAATCAGTAGAGTAGCTAACGGTGAAACTAGAAGACTAGCTCCTCTTCTGTTTTGAGAAGGGTAGTGGAGAGTGTACCTATTTTATTGTCACTCTATATGCTCGATAACACGAAACACTTAGCAAGGGNAACCCTTGGTTTCATAAACCCTTGAAGGGTTTATGACGCTATCATAAACCCTTCAAGGGTTTATGAAAATTTATACTTAGTGCAAAGGTTTATGATTCTGCCCTTTTTTTTTACAGTGTACCAGCTTTTAATGTTATTAATATTGTAATTAAATAAAATAAAATAAACATAAACTGTCAGTTACTTTTCTTCATGTGCTAGTGTATGCATTGAGGCCCAAGACAAATTGCTTACCTACTCTTTCCTTACTCTTTTTTCGCGAAAAAAATCGATGTGTTTGCTCAAGAAACTCTTATGCAACTGGTTTCAACTGCGCAGAAAAAGTCTGATAAGTAATCGACGAATGGCGCACTTTGTTGGTTATCAGAGTAGATTTTTTTGGCTTGTAAAAGAAACAGCAAAGTCAATACTCAGGTGAAAGGAAGCTGAATCAACATTGGTCGATCACGACATCATGCTATTTTGGTGCAATTGTAAAAAAAAACCATTTTTGAGATATTGTTGCACAAAATAATAAATAAAAATAATAATGAAAAATATTTTTAAGGGAGAAAATCTTGTCAGCTATTGACCGCTGGATTCTGGAGGCATTTTAATGCGGTATAGAATTGAACTCTGCAACCAACAACAATAAGATAGTTGAGTGATAGAAGCATTACTAAACAACTTGTGTTCGAAGTGGGCGTTTTGCCGAGGTTGAGTGAAAGAAAGCATGAAAAAAGATTTATCACATTATACGCGACATCGCGAGAATGGACTATTAGTTGACGAGAAAAATCTGTGTTTCGAAAAGATTGAGCAGAAAAGTATTATCCATTTTTGAGAATAAGTCGCTTGGGCAGAATTCTTATAACTTTTGAAAGGAAAACGATAGAGACCTGTGGTTTTCGTTGTTCAGTAGAGCACAACAGGGCACGTATTACTATGAACTAACCGAGCCGTCAAGTAAGGTTTACCATGATAAACCCTCGAATGCAAACTTGGCGAGATTACCATTCCCTGAGCGCACGGCCGATTTTGATTTCCAAATAACGAAACGAATAGCGCGGACCGAGATTTATAATTCTAGACCAACCCCAGGTCTGTAGTTTTTATGGTTCAGGAGTTATACACATTCTTCATAAAGGTATCGACTCCTATCAGGTCATTAAACGTTGGTCAAAATTCTAAATACTGCCACGTATCTCACCGTACCTAAAATCTTACATGTCAAATGTTTATAAATTTTTGTTTGTATCCAAGTATGAGTAGATATCTTTGCAAAAAACACTTATAACTCTCAAATTGTAAGCGATAAAGACGTAGAACTGGTCAAAACTTGTAAATCCCGATTCAAACTATTGATTTCACTATTTGGAAATCAAAATCGTTCATACTCTAAGGAATTTGAGCGTTGCAGAGTTTCCATTCAAAGATTTATCATGGAATACTTTAGTTGAAGGCTCTGTTATTTCATAGTAATACGTGTCCTGCTGTTCTCTATCCAACAATGAAAATCGCAGATCTCTCTCATTTTCCTTTAAAAAGTTATGAGAATTCTGCCCAAGCGACTTACTTTCAAAAATGGATAATAGGTTTGTTGAGGTTTCAAAGAAGTGTCATCCAGCTTTGTCTTCGAAAAGATCAGCAAAATAATCATTCCTTGACAATCACTGGTTGCAGAGTGACGAGCAATGAAAACAAGATGAAAATCGATAGTGGAAAACGAATATTTGATGTCGTAGCTAAACCTACACGGAAGAATGTACGAAGGGTGTGGGTGTGGATCTTCTCTTCGTCTACACCCGCATTCTCATCCACGTACACACGCACACGCACACCCACACCCACACCCCACCTACACCCACACCCACACCACCCACGCCCACGCCCACACCCACCCACACCCACACCCACACCTACACCCACACCCCACGTTTCAAAATGCTGAAAGACTTAGTTGTTCTTGCTGCAGTCGTCGTTGGTGAAAGTTTCATAATGCTGAATACCAGAGCATGTTTGTATCTCAAAACTAAATATTAATTTACTGAGCAGAATTAGATATCAAATCTATCTGATGAGACTCGAATATCATCTTCGGTTTCATTATAATTATTGCTCAAAAACTGTTTAGAATTTCCTTACAAATAAGCAAAATACAAATTCATATCAACACTTAACGACGTAAGTATAGTTAGCAGCAGATTCGAGTATTTCCGCCTAATATTCGCAACAAGCGCTGTGCCAGAACTGATATTAGTTGTGCCAGGCAGCCCATCGAATATACTATACAATGCTATAGGTTCCACAAACTTTCATTACATGACTTGCCCGCAAGATAAAAAAATACGCATTAAAAAACGCTCTTTTTTAGGTGTGGGTGCGTGTGGCTTTGGGTGTGTTGTGAAGAGAGTATCATTTATTTACCCAAACCCACACCCTCAAAATGGTCAAGGAAGTATCATCGTGTTGACTATACAGTATATTTAACAGATGAAAGTGGATATTTGAGTAGGTGAAGATACTGTTCGAGATGGAGTTGTTAATCAGTGTGATTGATATTATGGATATCGATGAATGTATATTTGTATTAAACTTGAAGGAGCAAAATTATACACTCACAATATACGTTATATTCATACCCAAATACTAGCGCAATAGACTAGCGAATAAATATTCTTCAGTTCACGCTGTAATAAAGGAATAATTCGAATTTGGAAAAGCAAAAAAATGAACAGTTATCATTTCCGAGATGCTTCGGTAAAAAAAAACCTATAAAACAGAGTTCTATATCATGAAAGAAACACTGATATAATCTGTCTTAACCTTACAAAAATGGATAATACATATTTTCATAAAGTCATCGTTGAGTTTTGCTATATGCATCGGGAGTTGAAAAATGTGGAAAATTATATAAGATTGTTAAGTTCGATGGTTAAGTTTCAACCGATCGTATTTGATAGTGAAAACTTATTCAAAAGAGGGTGTGGGCGTGGGTGTGGGTGGGTGTGGGTGTGGGTGTTGGAGTATGGGTGTAGATACAGAGAAGTCACACCCACACCCACACCCTACATCAATCTTTCACCTTTCTGAATAAGTTGACCTATTCAATTTAACAATGGCGCAAAAGTGGCGAAATGCAAACAATGAACATATGTATGTATATATGCTTCGTCTTAGCCAAAAAGCATCACAATCAAAAAAAAAAAGAAAATGAACCGATCAAATGTTCATGTTTTCGATTTACCTGATGAAATATTACTTATTATTTTGAACAAATTGAACAATATTGATGTACTTTATTCTTTATTGGATATTAATAATGGACGACTTAACGTTCTTGCACAAGAAAACACTTTCACCAACATTCTGAAGTTTGTCTCCATTGATGATACTTCTCTAATCGATCGATTTTGCATCGATATATTACCAAGAATTCATCGTAATGTCAAATGTTTTATCTTTGATCCAATTTTTATGGAACGCATTCTTCTTACCACCGACTATCCCAATCTAACTGAACTTGAAATTCATCATTTCCATGAAGAAATTGCTTTAAATTACTTTACAAGTGAGCATTGAATATGAGACAAATAATAAATGAGTGTTACAACGAATAGACTACAGTTTGTTTCATTTCATTGTTTTTCTCGTTTAGATAAATCATCACTTCGATCTATTTTCCAAGAACAAATTACAAATCTTATTCTTATCAATAATGATACATGCGCAATGACATGTTCATCAAATTATACAGCAAAGATATATGCGCATATTTTGACCTTCTTCAAAAATTTAAAAATTCTACGTATTATAGAACCAAGTGTTGTGTCATATCCACCTCTATCACTTTGTTATTTGCCATCGACAACTTTTTCATCTCCGATTCTTACTCATTTATATATCAATGTCGACGAATTTGATGATTGTCTTTGCTTACTTGATGGTCGACTTAAACAATTGACAACATTGTTTGTTACTGTCTGTTGCGCATTCAAGTCTTCACGCATTATTCACAATATGGTAAGTTTATAGAAATGATTTGATGAGATAAGAATAGTTACTATTTTAACGCAGTTTGAATTTTTGTCAAAAGATTTAATAAGAGATCGGATGGTTAAATTTCATGTTGACAAGAGGGGAAACTGATAAGTATTGATGAATGTATCGGAATCATCGACAAGTTTTTACCTACTAGAAATTCTTTTTTAATAAAGTGATCAAAGAAAATTTCTAGAATTTATAATTAAATAAGATTGTTGAGGGTAAGTTTCACATTAAAAACTGGACTTTCTGTTTCATCCTTGATTAAATATTATCTGTTGTGAATAATCATCAACATTGAATGGAACAAAACTTTTCGAATAAGTGAGATATGAATGCAATTTTATCTGTTACATTTCTATGGTTATTTCAACATCTCGCTTTTCATCCTCTAAAATTAGACTATTCAACTGAGAAATTTGTCATTTGCAGTCATTAACAGATAGAATATAGCACAGACACTCAGTGTAAATAACGATGGATATGACTTAATTATGTTGATCATCAATAAAAATTTTTTTTTTCTTTTGTAGAATAAACTATCTAATCTTAAGTGTTTCTCGTTAAAAATGTTCGAAGAATTTCAACCTTATGATAGAATTGCATCACTTTTGCATCGTATGTCAAATCTGGAAAAATTAACTTTAAACATTTCTATAAAAGATCGAAATAGTGTCATTGATGGTACTTATATTCAACATGATATTTTTGATTGTATGCCACAACTTTCATTCATTCACTTTCTATATTTGTAATCCAATATTCATTAATGTTTGTTGAATATCTTCACTAGATAACTTGTAGGATAAATCAACCGTTTCAACATAGGTACAAATATAGAANTTACTTGATGGTCGACTTAAACAATTGACAACATTGTTTGTTACTGTCTATTGCGCATTCAAGTCTTCACGCATTATTCACAATATTGTAAGTTTATAGAAATAATTTGATGAAATAAGAATAGTTACTATTTTAACACAGTTTGAATTTTTGTCAAAAGATTTAATAAGAGATCGGATGGTTAAATTTCATGTTGACAAGAGGAGAAACTGATAAGTGTTGATGAATGTATCGGAATCATCGACAATAAGTTTTTACCTACTAGAAATTCTTTTTTAATAAAGTAATCAAAGAAAATTTCTAGAATTTATAATTAAATAAGATTGTTGAGGATAATTTTCACATTAAAAACTGGACTCTCTATTTCATCCTTGATTAAATATTATCCGTTGTGAATAATCATCAGCACTGAATACAACAAAACTTTTCGAATAATTAAGATATGAATGCAATTTTATCTGTTACATTTCTATTGTTCTTTCAACACCTCGCTTTTCATCCTCTAAAATTAGAATATCCAACTGAGAAATTTCTAATTTGCGGTCATTAACAGATAGAATATAGCACAGACACTCAGTGTAAATAACGATGGATATGACTTAGTCATGTTGATCATCAATAAAAAAAATTTTTTTTTTTCTTTTGTAGGATAAACTATCTAATCTTAAGTGTTTCTCGTTAAAAATGTTCTATGAATTTCAACCTTATGATAGAATTGTATCACTTTTGCGTCGTATGTCAAATCTGGAAAAATTAACTTTAAACATTTCTATAAAAGATCGAAATAGTGTCATTGATGGTACTTATGTTCAACATGATATTTTTGATTGTATGCCACAACTTCATTTATTCACTTTCTATATTTGTACTTATGTTGAAACGATTGATTTATCCTACAAGTTATCTAGTGAAGATATTCAACAAACATTAACGAATATTGGATTACAAAATGTCATTAGTATTGTCAATTATGTTTGTGATTCAAGAGCTGCATGTTCGATTTTCTCACTTCCTTTTCAATTTGATTATCTCAAAGATCTTGGCAATAAATTTCTAAATATTGTATTCAGTTATGTTACGTATTTACATGTGAAAGATAATGATCCATTTAGACATGAATTCCTCGTTCGAATTGTCCGATCGTTTCCATTACTGAAATATTTACGTATTTATAATGTACGATCATCGTTACCAATTGATCTTATGACATTTTCATCTGACAATTGTCAATTATACTCAACTATTGAATATTCGCATCTAACTACACTTGATCTGAGTTATGCACATAGAGAATATGTTGAACAATTTCTAAATGAAACAAAGACATATATGCCTTGTCTGACGGAATTATTGGTCATGGTACGTGACTTGATAGTTGTAACAAAGAACTTTACAAGAAACGAAACATGACGCAATTGTGCCAAAGTGAAAACATTATTTATCCTACCACCAGTGTTACATGTAGAAGGTTTATGTGATTACTTTCCTTTTTTATATAAGTAGATGTATTCTTGTTATGATGAATTGAATAAACTGAAACATGATAAATATTGTATTTATAGGCTAATGATATTTTTCAAANTCCAACTGAAAAATTTGTCATGTTGCGATCATTAACAGATAGAATATAACACAGACACTCAGTGTAAATAACGATGGATATGATTTAGTCATGTTGATTATCAATAAAAAAATTTTTTTTTCTTTTGTAGAATAAACTATCTAATCTTAAGTGTTTCTCGTTAAAAATGTTCTATGAATTTCAACCTTATGATAGAATTGCATCACTTTTTCGTCGTATGTCAAATTTGGAAAAATTAACTTTAAACATTTCTATAAAAGATCGAAATAGTGTCATTGATGGTACTTATATTCAACATGATATATTTGATTGTATGCCACAACTTCATTCATTCACATTCTATATTTGTACTTATGTTGAAACGGTTGATTTATCCTACAAGTTATCTAGTGAAGATATTCAACAAACATTAATGAATATTGGATTACAAGATGTTACTAGTATTGTCAATTATGTTTGTGATTCAAGAGCTGCATGTTCGATTTTCTCACTTCCTTTTCAATTTGAGTATCTCAAAGATCTTGGCAATAAATTTCCAAATATTGTATTCAGTTATGTTACGTATTTACATGTGAAAGATAATGATCCATTCAGACATGAATTCTTCGTTCGAATTGCCCAATCGTTTCCATTACTGAAATATTTACGTATTTATAATGTACGATCATCGTTACCAGTTGATCTTATGACATTTTCATCTGACAATTGTCAATTATACTCAACTATTGAATATCCACAGTCTAACTACACTTGATCTGAGTTATGGACATAGAGAGTATGTTGAACAATTTCTAAATGAAACAAAGACATCTATGCCTTGTCTGACCGAATTATTCGTCAAGGTACGTGACTTGATAGTTGTAACAAAGAACTTTACAAGAAATGAAACACGACGCAATTGTGCCAAAGTGAAAACATTATGTATCCTACGACCATTGTTTCATGTAGAAGGTTTATGTGATTACTTTCCTTCGTTATATAAGTAGATGTATTCTTGTTATGATGAATTGAATAAACTGAAACATGATAAATATTGTATTTATAGGCTAATGATATTTTTCAAATGTTAAGAAATATCAACTATTAATGATTGATTCTCATTTTAGAAAAAAAATCACACAGCACCACATGATGCTGAAGAGTTATATGTAGAATGAAAAATATTCTTTTCGCAATTAGGAATGGTACTTTCACTTTCCTTTCTTGCATCTGACATTACTAAAGAACGTATTGATAATGATAATTGATTTTTGATTAGTTGGAAAAAAAAGAAGAAATTGAACAATAAGAAGATTGTTTACATAACCATTGATTAAATGTTTGTTCAGATTTAATATTCAATAAATGATAATTCCATATCTCATTAAGAATATTTTCTCAATATTTTCCTGCTTGTTTAAGATAGTTAAAAATATTGAAAGAGAAGGTAGAAAGATTTGACACTAAACTAGCTGTTAAATATAATAATTTATTGCAATTTTTCTTTTGACTTTTGTTCAGTTCAAATTGTGCTCGGCCAAGTGCAGCTCAAATAAGTGGAACTGAATATTGACAAGACATCGAAAATTGTTTTTGTTTATCAACCTTTGCTAAATTACGAAATATATAAACATATCATTCGTCAGATATATGTTCATGATGAGGATGTGAAAGTTGATCAACAGTTCTTCAAATTTCAATACAAACTAAGTAAATAAGTTTTTCTAGAATATTCAGACTTTGTAGAATCATTCTATGTACGGCAGGAAGGTCGATCATTTTCATTCTCAGTACACTGTCTCAAACGATGTTTTATCACATAAAGTCTCACTGCGATCTTTCATTCATTTACTTGCTAAGACACAATCATTATTCTCCTCCACTGTGTAAACTCGTATAATTGAAATGTCAGAGATAGAAGTGTTCATCGCTTTTCTGAACTACAATCTTCGAAGAGTGCGATGCATTTCGTATGACCTATCGTCCCTGCATATGTCGCACTCTGTATGAAGGAAGAGAAAAGAGAAAATTTGCAGTATTGACTGTCGCAGCAGACTTTAAGCATTTGTTGAAAGTCATCTGCGCAATTCATGTTATTCCAAGGCATGAGTAGAAACATGTTTTGTTATTCATATGATCAGTTGAAAAGTTTTCTCGCAATGAATCTGTACCATAAAAAGTGCCTTGGTGTGATACCCAACTTCGACAAGGTCCGTCCACAGTCCTTCGAATGGTAATCAATAGTGCTTTGAGGCAATCCTGTTCGATCTCGAGTTCTAGCTGAAATGTTTTAGAAAATCGGGATTTTCTTATTAATAGGAAGAATGCTTGGAAAATAGAACCACTACGAAGTCAAACAGTATTTTATTCCTTCTAAACAATGAATTTCTCAGAGAAGAAATCTTTCGAAAACTCACTTTTATTTAAACTATTAGTCGTTGATAATTGTTTTTTTTTGCAAATGAACTACTCAAAGCAAGTTTGTTCATTTTCGATAATTGTTTATCTTCAGAATGTGATCTTAAATTAATTCCTCGACATCAGTTTTCATAAAGTTCTGGTTGATATTTATATACAAATGAATCCCTACTAATTTTAATCATATCATCTCGACATGTACATTTTGTTCAATGTTTATCATATTCAATCCAATGTTCCAAAGCGAAATTTGTTGATTCAGCACAACTAAAACCATAATTAATTGATGAGAAAACAGCATCGCCGAAGACTTCCATTATAAGAAAACCAGCTGTACGACGATCAAGATTAACGGTATCCATCACGAATATAGTTGGAAACATAATTGATTCAAAGAAAAATAATGCAATAAGAACAATAACAGCAGGACGACCATAACCAGCAGAAGTGTAAGCTGTAAAAGCAATACTAATTACAGAATAAACGAGAAATTAAATCAGCTTGGAAGAAATGAGTCAGTGCAGTGCTAACAACATGACCAACAGTGAATACAATAAGAGCATATGATAAAAGATTTGATGCTTCAGGATCCGTAAAATCAGCATTTTCAGTTGCATAGTTGATAAAGAAAGAGCTAACTATGACATAAATAAGGATATTTTTCATAACATAAATACAGTTTCGATGACTATATCCCAAGTGAATGAATGACTCGGCTATATTAACACATGTGTCTAAGCATTCACCGAACCATTCGATCTTTCTAGTTTATTGATAAAAGGAGGTGGAAGCTGACACAAGAGATTTAAGGATTAGCTGCAATAGATCTACGTATTGTGAATCAATACATGAACCAAAAGCTGAAAGACTTCAGATGTTCTAGAAAAGTCATCGATGTTTAAAAATATTCGAACTCAAACCTGTCGGTTCTTCCATGATAATTTACATACCTCAAGAAACGTTTGCGATGCTTCCCGAACATGAATCGTTTAGTTCGATGAATGCCAACATATGTCTTTTATTAACTGAACACCAACATAGCAACACTGTGCTACGAATGTAAAATTCATACTCTATTGATTCCACAATGATTTGGCTTCATCCGCACCACTAGAAGAATCTTCATCATCTGCGATGACCTCAGGTAGCTTGGAGAAGATGAATAAAACAGCGACTAATGCTACAGTGCCGGCAACGGATATGTAAATATATTTGATGTTTTCAATATTACTAGAATGTTCTTCTGAGAAGAAGAATTTAGACGCAATAAGTGGACCAATAAATGATACAACATCATTCCACGACTGACAAAATTGTAAACACATGGAAGCCGATTTTGGATCACCAGTAATTGGAGAAGGTTGCAACTCGTCACATGACGAGTTTTTTTTTCCAAAAAAAGTATGGGTTTTGTAACACCAAAAACAGGAATATTCGAGAAAACAGGGATATCGTAACAGTTGCAGGGTTTTCGCAAAGAAACAAGAGGGATTTAGTAATAACGTATGTACTAGTTAGACTTCATTTACATATAGGAATTACATGGATTTCGTAACAAATTGTACAGGGTTATCGTAACAGCAAAAATAGGATTTTTCACGATATATTTCAAAGGACGTGCGAGTGACAAATCAGGGCTGTCGTAACGAATTTTGCACGGAAAACATAACCGTCCATACAGAGTTCTCGTACCAGAAAAGCATACCATGTTTGAATTAGCTGTGTAGGGTTATCGTAACGAAAGTTTAGGATTGTCGTAACCAATCCTCTTTTTTCTTTATAAAAAGGTAAGACTCGTTGAACACAGTGAAGTATTTAACTTATTTAACTTACTTTACTTAACAAAGCAATGGTAGAAAACGAATAACATAGAAGATAGGCCTTATTGACTAATGCACAGGTATTGAGACATGTATTGAATAAGTTATTGAAATAGGAGAAAATGAATACTAGTTAACATGTTCTTCAAAAATATATGGGCAATTTCATTTGTTAGGGACGTGACTTGGCAAAACTAAAATGCTTATATCTCTGGATAACGAACTCCTATAGAGCTGATTTTTTTTTATGCCATAGACATATTGAGTTGGTTGGCCGTAAAAATGTCGAAAGGAAAAATGTCGAAAGGAAAAATATCGAAAGGAAAAATGTCGAAAGAACGAGGAGGAAAAATGTCGAAAGAAAAAATATAGAAGAGGAAAAATGTCGAAAAAATAATATCGACAGAAAAATGTTTGATAAATATTTTGAAGAGTTGTGAATAGTGAAGAACATGTTGTATAATATGAGTTAGTGTTAATATTATAACAGTTACAAAAACAGATAATGAAAAAAAGTGATTTATTATTTTTTCTTCATAGCACCTATGGATTGTTGTTTTGGTCTTGCTGGAAAATGCCGAAAAGGAAAACGTCGAAAAGGAAAAACGTAGAAAAAAAATAGAAAAGGAAAATATCGAAAAGGAAAATGTAGAAGAGGAAAACGTCGAAATGGAAAGGACAAAAAAAAAAAATATCGAAAGGAAAATGTAGAAGAGGAAAACGTCGAAATGATTGATCTATTCGTTTTGATGTATGTTAAGTAGTATGTTTGTTAATTTATAAAAAAAGACTAAAGAAAATTCATAATATACTAACATCTTATTTTTTTTTCGTCCAACTAATAATGATAGACCTAACAACAGTTCGTTCGCGTTGATTTCCTTCTTGGAAAATCTGTTGTATAGAATATCAAATCGCGCTTACAAAGCTATTGTTTTTTTTTGTTTTGGTGCAGATGCACTAGCATCAAGTTGAATTGAAATATGCTCAAAACGAGCATGTTGTGTCCACCAGTAATACATATGAATTCATCTGTTATACTTGTATGTATGTACACATTACATTCTCGTTCAACACATAATCAATATGTTTTTAATTGTGTTTTTTTATTGCACTTGAATAAGTAATTTTCATATATTAACAATGGTTTACCGTTGTTCGATATGGCAAATGATACTTCAGGTTGGTGAGTTTTTGACGAACTGTTTTCAGAAACGAAGTTTGTTGCCATTTGGACGATATGTATATTTATAATATGAGGAAATTTTCTTTATTCGATAGAAATTTAACTATGCTGATCATAAGAGTGACCAATAAGAACAAAAACAATTGAATTTTTTTACTGACATCTTTAAAAGTTTCGACGTTTTCCTGTTCTACATTTTCCTTTCGATATTTTCCTTTTCTGCCTTTTTTATTTCTACGTTTTCCTCTTTTCAATTTTTGCTTTCGACGTTTTCCTTTTCTGTCTTTTTTTCTACATTTTCCTCTTTCGACGTTTTCCTTTTCGGCGTTTTCCTACAACCCCGTTGTTTTATTCAGATTGAAAACATAGTCATCTGCTGCGAGTAAAGATTTTCCTTTATTTGTATTTATAAATGAAAAGCTAGAGATACTGATCGGGTTATGTCACATTCAGATGTAGCAGTTTCAGTCGTGACAATAGAATTTTAGTTAATATAATAGTTCTTCGCTTTACTGTCATATTTTATTTTTATCAGGTAGTAGTCGTCAAAATCACGATTGCTTAAACTTGTATACTATCACAACTATGAGAAAAACAACAGTGAACTAGACATGATTAGAGTCACAATTTATTGGATACATCATCTTTTTCGATATTTTTCTGTTACAATATTCTTCTACTTCCATATTTACTTTTCGACATTTCTCCTCTTCTACATTTTTTCTTTCGACATTTTTCCCTTTCGATATTTTTCCTTTCGACATTTTTCCTTTTCGACATTTTTCCCCTTCGATATTTTTCCTTTCGACATTTTTCCAGCACACCATTGAGTTACTCTAGCTAGCTTGAAAAATTCAGCCGTATAGCCCTTGGTTTAGAAAAGTTATCACCAAAAAATAGCGTTAGGGGCGTGACCAAAAAAAAGACATCGATTTTCGCTGCATGCATTTCACTTTAAAAAATCTGCAGATTGAGAGAATATGTTTAGAAACGAAATAGTTTACTCTATAGAAGACACTTGAGGCTACAAAATCTGTATTCAAAGTTTTTTCTGATCATGTTCAGATTTTCCAAAAAGTTCAGTTTACTTTTCGTTAGGGACGTAACAGAGTACGAAGGTAAAGTAGCTAAATGTCGAAAGGAAAATGCCGAAAGTGAAAATGTCGAAAAAAAAATGTCGAAAATAAAAATGTCGAAAGGCAGGACGCCGAACAGAAAAATGTCGAAAGTTGTTAATGTAGAAAAACAAAATGCCGAAAATGAAAATGTAGAAAGTAATGACGCCGAAAACAGTAATAGTGCATAATTAGTCGTCTACTTTGTTGATGAAATCTAGGCAAAGAAAAGTACAAATCAAACCTATTCAAAAACTGAACAAATAAATAAACATTGCATGGATAAATTAAGGCTTTAAATACCATCACCTCGAATTCAGAACTCTTTTTTAAGCATTTTGATTTTTGAGTAACTTGCGAACGCGAAAAAGATATCAAGATGACGTTTTTGTTACAATAATACGATAGTTGTGAGCATATATTTATGCGAAAATTCTAACTCAATTGGAAGCATTATCTTAGGCGGAGACTCCCTCCTTTCCGGCACTTGTGGAGAATGACTCATCAGAATAATTTGAAACTTCCAGAGTAAATAGATCCCAATGAGTAGAGAAAAAGTTGCCATAGACTCAACTTTCCTAAATGCTTCCTTATAGGAGATATTGGGATCCCAAAAGCTACAAATCGCCATGTCTTCTCGGTAGTAGTATGCCCGGTAGAGCTGAATTTTTTTCTTACCGATACTAGCCACCGTTGGGAGGTGCTTCTCTTTTGGTTTCTTTTTATCTCCTTCTGTTCGAGTAAAAACATCAAAATTCTGAGAGCATCCTCAAAAACTCTGAACAAATCGTATTTTTTGACTAGAGCTTTTATGTGAATCCTGACAAAAACCGCAGTACATCATATTTTGAAACAAAAAAGTAAGTATGCTAAACACTTTCTACTATTAATAGAAAAGGTTTCGGCTTGGTTGGATGTACTATGCTGGAGAAACGAGGGAATTCTCCATTTTTTTTAATCAAAAAATTCGTTTTTCGTAAAAAGCACAGTAAAGTGAAAATTTTGATATTTTTCAGCGAAAATCTTCCATCTTCTCAGGGTTGTCGGCTTTTTGTACGTATATATTAATTCCTGAAATATGCCCAGTACATAGAGGATAACTTGAATCATATATAGAGCACAAAAATACAAAAAGTGAAGTTTTTGAATTTTGAGTCGAAAAGAGGATCTCCTCTTAATAACCTTGGTGACTCTTTGAAAAACCACCTTGAAAAAAGTGTCCTTTATTCAGGACGCTGATACTTAAAGGATTAAGATACCAAAAGTTGATGATAAAGCAGATGCCCCAATGTATCGTCAGTGAATAGAAATTTGTTCAATGACATTTTTCATGGCCCTTCCTTCAGATTTTTCTTTTCGCCATTTTTTATTTCGACGTTCTTCTTTTCGACAATCTGATTTTCGCCATTTTTACCTTTCAACATTTTCATTTTCGCCATTTTTCTTTCGACATTTTCACTTTCGACATTTTTCTTTTCGGCAATCTGCTTTTCTACGCCCTGCTTTTCGACATTTTGTCTTTCGACGTTTTCCCTTTCGACATTTAACCACCTATTCAGTACGAATCGACTATTTTTGATGCTTTCATATCTATGCAAACGTTCAATCATTTACTGTGAAACTTAGGATTCCTATTCTTCCAAGTGTGCTCTCTAGTAAATCATATAAAAAAATTATATTATTTTCTATTAAGGTTTCTAGAAAACGAGATTAAAAAGGAAGGGGTTTTAACAGAGTTTTTTAAGAAAAAGCAGGCAAATTTACGTAATGTAGGAACAACTTTACTAAAACTGGTTTTCTAGTTTTTGCAACTATGGAAACGAAAAAATAACATACTTTTTTTTATAAACTGAAGACAATAGTTGGTAACTACGCCAAACTTTCGAAGCGTAGTTTCGAATTTTCGAAAAAATGAATTTGTCCCATTTTTCGTGAAATTGCCCATATACACATTTATCTATATGAACACAAAAAAGAACAAATAGTATCATCTAATCTATTGCTGTCATTTCACAAAAAAATTTATACAAATATTATTTCTGCGAAAAAGCCTGATTTGTTTGGTCACGATAGTTCTGATTTTTTGCTACGAGAGTTCTGTAGCTACAAACTATCAATACGCTACTTCTACAGTGCGATGGCCTTGTAATAACAGTTATGATAGCCCTGTACTTTTCGTTACAACAGTCCTGTATTGTCAGTCGTATTCTTCAGTAAAATATATTACGACAGCCCTGTATAATGAGTTACGATAATCCTGTAAAATTCATTACGAAATGCCTGTAATTGATGACGTGATGTTCTGAAATGGTACATATCAAACCACCGATTACGATCACCCTGTAAAACTCGTTACGATACCTCTGATTTTTTGTTATGAAAGCCCTGATTCTGTCGTTACGAAACCTCTGTTACGGGCTTTCGTACTGTCAATTTTTTACAAAAGTTAGAAGAAAAAAACGTGACGAGTTGCAACATTCCCAATAATTGTAGTGTATGAATTGGCGGATGTTTCTAATGAAACAACACCACAAGCAATGACAAAAGTACAAGCAATAAAACCATCAAAAACTTGTTTAGCATTATTTGGTTTAGAATGATGAGTAGTTGGCCAGAAAAAGAATTACACCCAAGGCTAGAGAGCTAAACTTATGGCGATGGTAATCTTGTAACCTTTAAGTTTGAATAATTCAGCAGCGATCGATGAGAAACAAAGATAACTACCACCCTCAAGATAATTTGTGGTGTAGTCGCTGCAAGTTTTATAATTTTAAGAACATTTTGAGAAAGTGTTTGTTTAAGACATCCAGAAGACTGTATGAAAAACTCCAGAGGAAGAACAATGAAGTGACTAGAAACAGTGAAAATATAAGTTGACGATCTTTATGATACGACCGATTCGATGAAGAATTTGGAAGGACTGTACCACCAGCCATTTTAGCTGATTATATAATTGTCTAAAGATGAAAATTAGAATAATCAAATGTCTCTCTGAGCATGTACAATCATCAGTAGATCAAAATACACTTTATACGAGATACTTTGATGATATAAAATTGTTTACAATGTATATCTATATATGTATATGACGGTTGTATAAGCTCAATTACCATCACTCAAGATCATGTATATGTATGTCAGGCGACACAATTTTCTTTCGTAAGATTGTGTTTAAAAAATTTTAAGTGAAGATTTCAATTTCTCACGAAAGTTTTTAATAGCAAACGTAAAAAGATATATTCGTAAAAAGAAGAAACCTGCGGAGGAAATACTCTTAAGGACTTGACTCGATTCTTCAACAACAAAACAATCGATCACGATCAATGTAAATAAACATACGAAATACTTAACTTAACCTTTCGAAAAATAATCTTTTGATAGTATCACATAAGTAACCAAAATACTTCAACGAGTGTATTTTTTAATAATGCCATTAATTGTAGACGATAAAATATTGTCTCTATTTGAAATTGCATATTATTTTGTGTGAAAGTTCACGAACTTTTGAGTTGTCCAATCAATAATAGTTGTTTGTTAATTAGAAGATGATGCAAAAGCCAATTTATGAGGTTATTCTCAGACTTATTCAATATCAATTATCGTGCAAAACTTCTTGAAAGCATTAAGTACTTTATTGACTCAGTTGTCTCGCAAAATGAACTCTAAACTAATATCCATTTCAAAATAAACGAAGGGCGAGTATTTTTGGAATAATTTTTGA